ATATATTTAAACCTCTGAAAACCAGGAAATACAGAATCAAGTTACACGCCAGCCTGCCCCACAACCTTAACTCTGCCCTCTGGAGCTGGCAAGAGCTATTGGAGATATGTTTCAACCAGGGCTGCCCTATGATAAGCAGACCTACGGAATGAGTAGGTAAATGTGCCATTTTGTATGGCATATTGTTGTGTCTCATTGTATTCTCTAATTTATCTGCATGCACTTAGTTCGCCCTTTGCTGTGTTATGACCAGTTGAAATGGCTGAGTAAAAACTAGGTGTAGCCAGATGGAGTTTACTTAACCCTCCCTAAATGCAACTTTTGCTTCAATGAGGACACAGTTTCTTCTACTCTACTCAGGTGCTGTGTCCTTGCAGAGCTTGATATCATCCGGGATAATATAGGGTGATACAATGTCTGTCATGGGTGGATTCGGGCATCATTCAAAGGGTGCTATCAGGCTGACTTGTGAGTTGTCAGAGAGGAACATTGTTTTTGAAAGATGTAAGGTATCTTCCCCTGTTTTTTTTTCCTGTAACAAAGCTGAAGAGGCCTATCTCATTTAGCTTATGAAATGTTTGCATAATATTACTAGATTTATACCATTTCTCCTGTTTTCCACTTTGACATTCTCTTTAAAAAAAAAAAACTATTGTATGGATAACTTTTATGCATCTCTTCCTCAAGAGAATGAATCCTGCCACCTCTACGGAGAGGTATACCAGTATGGATAAGCCTTTTGTCAACCTGAGAATGACAAATGTTGATGTTTGTATTCATGTAATTTGTTTCCTATGCACACTGCCATATCTGAATGATTGTCTGACGACTGTGTCACAATCTCTGTATACCTCCAGTTATCATTAACTACTGTCCTGTTTTATTTCCTACCAATAAATCTAATTTCTGAGATCTTAGTTAGGTGCAACATGTGTTTTATTTCAAATGTCAAAATATACATTGGCCTGGCATATGTATAATATTTATGTAGGTCTATAACTAATTTATCTGGGTCCAAATCAACCTTTATTTAAATAGGCACAAATCTGAAGTAGCTCCTTTGATTCCAGCTGTCTGGATTTGCATCTGCTTACGTGATAACAAAACGTAGACCATTCCTGAGGCCTAGAATTCAATCACTGCCCTACAGCTTAGGATAGTGCAAACAACTACAGTGTGCTGGAGCCCAGGACTTCCATCTCTTTCACTCCGCTGCAAGAACACGCATAGCAGCAATGGGGGACAGGATCACAGTGCATGATTAGGGGGAGGAGTGGGAGAAAGAGGCTAGGCACTACATAACTACAAAAGGGGTTACTAGTCCCTTCTAACCAGTCCCAAAATGTATGTTTGCAGGGCAGCCTATTGATAATTACTTCTTACCTACTCCTCCCTGAACAGATCATTAAAAATACACAAGGAATTGGTCACAATAGCAAAAGCTAAAGGACCTGATTTAAATGTTAGATATGATAGAAGAATCAGCATCTTTGTTGTCAGGCTGCATTTCCTACTGAATCCTACACGTGGAAGTGTTGAGAATGAAAAGCAAATTTGGAAAACTACTAAAAGACAATATGGTGTGGTGTTGTAAGAGCGGACACTTCCTCCTCAAAATCTTGCTTGGCCATTGCTTTTTCAAAACATAAAGAAAGGCATAGGACACTTCTTGGGACTAGAATCAGGACTCAGGGAGACTAATATTGTCAGGAGCAAATCACTATCAAATACAATTGCCTTTTAGTGCAACCATTTACATTTTATTCCTCTTGTTGTCATTTCTATCACATAGCCAGGTGTGTTAACACTTCAATTTAACTCAATAAATGCTCAAGTCCCTAAGATCCTCCTCAGGCAAGGACTACACATCCAGAGTCTCCTTCCCTCCAAAATACTGCCCAGTATCTCTCCCTCATTCCCTGGTATCTCCTGCAGGAGGGAGATTCCACAGAGCTTGGAAGAGCGTGGGGGGGGGGGGGGGAGGCCGGGAGAGAAATTTTCAGAAGTACTTATGCCCTGTTTTCAACATTGACTTAAGCAGTTAGGTTCCTAAGTCCCATTGACTTTCAAAGAGTTAAGCCCTTAATTCATTTAAATACTTTGGAAACATTTATTCTCAGGCTTCAGTCATTTGCGATGTTGTTGGTCTATATGGTAATATGCTGCATAAAGTAGCTGGCCCCTTGTGCCCCTCCCCTCCAACCCAAATTCCAAATTTTGGCTAACATATTTTTTGGTACAGAGCAACTGGTCTGTTGGTCTTCTGGTTCCTGGGGCTATATGTTCCTGAGACTGGATTAAGTCCTAGGCTCAGAGTTGTTAGGCACAGAAGCAGTATCAGCTTCACACCTAAAGTATGGGAGCATTAGCCTATCTCTGATGCTTGTCTTCCACCGAGCCAAGGCCACTGCCTCTACTGCCATTGCTGTGGCTCTGGGGAGGGCAAGTGAGGATGCAGATCCTGGGTGTTCTGGAAGGGTAGGACTTCTCTACAGATTGGCCTGTCACTCACAGTTTGAGCCACAGTCTTTCCTCCTCCCCAGCTTGCCTCAATGGCAAATGCCACGATTATAGCTTTTCTGTCAACTTACAGGAGAACAGGATCCAGTAGCCCACCACTGCCATTCTTTTCAGCCTCCACCTGAACAGAGAGCTCTATGAAGACTGCCTTCCCCATCCAAACAGAGAGTGATGGGACAGACATGTCATTCATACCACACCCGCCACATGAGTAGAGGGCTCTGTATGTGGGAGAGGGACATTGAGAGGACATCCCCAAATCCAAGGGCTCTGTGAGGGTGCTCTCCTTCCCCCACAGACAGTGGGTTCTATGGCAATAATGGTTCTTCTACTCTAGCAGTAGTTCCTATGCATCCTGGTTGCATATAGAGTAGATATAGAGAGAGTTGCAGGGGGGTGAGGCTGAAAGCAGGCTTATATTTGGGTCAGGCCAAATAGGGCCCAACATTTCCGTAATTCTTCCCTGTTAGTTCCTAGAACTATTGGTCTTTCAACTGAAACCAACAGAGACTATTTAAAAAAAATGAATAGAATTCAGAAGAAATGAATAGAGGACAATTGAATGAGTGTGATGGAGTCTACTGAAATTCCCAGTAGGGCTCTGCATGGAACAACTAGGGAGGAGCTTACACAGGTTCTAGGGAAGTGCTGTGGAGGCTGCCCCTCCTTCTGCATTTCCTAGCCCAAGCAATGCCAGTGTCATACTGTCTGCTTGCAGCAGCAGAGGAGCGCCTGGGCCCTCAGACTGAAATAAGCAATTTAAATAATCTAATTTGAATGAAGTTGCTTGGGGGTTTTATATATATATATATATTATTGTTTAATATATACTGTCTGATTTTAATAAAAAAAGAAATAATACTATTTTTGGCTCATTATCAGGATTATTTTCATACTGTAATTAAAGAACTGTTGCTCCAATGATTTCAAATACTTGTTTTAAGGAGTTTAAACCTGAAAACTAAAAGGTTGTTCCAAGCTATCATCATGATCGGAGCAATACATCATTGCAGTTACACAAAGGAGATTATGCACAGAGTATATGATATACCTGTAGAAGAGCTCAATCCCAAATCCCCTTGGATTATTTAGCATTTGCCAGCAGATATTAAAATATGGGTAAGAAGTTTAATGCATCTGATTAAACTTCTGATTAAAAATAGTGTTTATCTCTAACACTGACTAATAAATAATTATCTCCTGCTCTCCTTCAGAGATTACACTAGTATAAAACCAAATCCTATTTAAATCAAATTGCAGCTGGATGCTACCAAGCTGAAGAAAAATTGAAATCTTTACCTGCAAATTGAATATTATGACAAACTACATTCACTTTTACAGTCATTCAGTAAATACAGCAATTTTATTTAGAGATCTCAAATCAAGAAATCAATTTAGCAAACATGCTTGGACTCTAAAGATTCAATTATGTTAATGATTGAAGTACAATCTACAAACTAAAGTAAGAAAATGTTATATTTGAATTGTAGCTTCTTCTGAGTATTCTGTTAACTAGATATTTTTGAAGATAGTTTGTGCATTGTGTATTTAAAAAAAGACCTGACACCATGTCCTTAACATACATGTTTTGATGATTAAAAAAAAACCAAACACAGTGGCAACATCAAAAATCACTCCCTTCAGTACCCAATTTCTATTGTTGAGAAATGGCAAATCTAATTACAAAATATTTGACTCACTGGACAAATCCTGCAGGAACACTGTCAACCCTTCAGGATATGACTTAGTACTGTAACACCACTTGTCAGCATAACTATGTGAAGGGCCACATTCTGTGACTTAACACACTTGAATCTGTTTGTCAGATGATTTTCAGGAAAGCACTTCCTGAGACATTCCACTATGTTTTTTTAGGGTTTGGTTCCTTTTTGTCTTCATTCAAATTTGTTTTCTCATGTAAAAACTAACATCATAAATGCCTGAATCTTGCTCACATTGAAATCAATGAGATAGGCTCAAAGATGTCTGAAGCTTTAGTATCCTCAGCTAGGTCTGTCTTTTCTGCCTTATTTGATGAATCATGATGGGATGATTTTTCTCTCACTTACATTGGTGTAAATCAGGAATAACTCTGATGGAGTTAACAATGGGAAACAACAACAACATATAAGTGAGTAATATTTCATTCCATAGTCATGTAACAAAAGCCCTCAGGTAAACATAAAAAGCAACCATAACAGAGGGTGAGATTTTGGAAAATGCCGGTAGGATAATAGGAGCAACAAGAGGGAAATCAGTGGCAGAATCTGTTGAACACCTTAAGATGCCTATTATATAAATGCAAGGAGTATGGGGAATAGACAGGAAGAACTGAAAGTATTAGTACATAAAATAGACTATGACTTAATTGGCATCACAGAAACTTGGGATAACTCTCATGACTGGAACATTAGTGTAGAGGGATATAGCTTGTTCAGGAAGAGAGGTAGTGGTGCATTTTACATCAAGAATATACAAACTTGTTCTCAGGTCCTGAGGAGATGAGAAGCAGAATCGTTGAGTATCTGTGTACAGATAAAAGGGGTAAAACAATAGGGTTTATGTCATGGAATCCGGAAGACGAGGTGGAAGGCCAGACATATGTTGGAAAAGTAATAGGGCAAAACACAAAATTTCCAATAAGTTCTTGGAATATACTGGGGACACCTTTTTGTTTCAGAAAGTGGAGGAAGTAACTAGGGGAACAGCCATTTTAGACTTGATTCTGTCTGTACCTATTGGGCTTCAGGAAGTGGGCGGGCGTAAGCCCCCCCACTACTAGAGGGTCCCCCACCCCCAGCCTAAGGAGAGGATCCACAGGGCCTGAAACTCAGATAATTATGGGGGACAACTAATGTAACAACAGGAACAGGAGTGCAGTCAAAGGGTTAAAAGAAGGGAACCTGACGGGGACACCAAGCAGAAAACCCCGGACAGTGCCCACTGCTCCTCAAAGGTGTCAAGGGAGCCAGTGGACGCCGCCCAGAGGAACTCTGCCCGGATATGTGAACGGTCAGAGGATCGGAAAAACAGGCCCTACAGTCACAGGAACCTCCATCAGCCAACCTCCTCTCCCTGGTTTTATAGATGGCCTGTTTAGCCAAGGCCAAGAGGAAGTTGACCAGGAGGTCCTGTGACTTTGTGGGGCCACGGATAGGGAGTGCATAAATGAGAAGGTGAGGGGAAGAGTGCAACCAAAAACGCAACATAATGTAGGTGAGGAGCCAGTGTAGGGGCTGCAACCAGGCACACTCTAAGTAAACGTGAGCCAGGGTCTCCCTCACGCTGCAGAAAGGACAGGTGTCTGGGACAGGGGTAAACCGCGCCAAGTACACGCCCGTGCTCACGGCCCCATGAAGGAGCCGCCAGCTGATATCCCTGGCGGGCCTCGGGACCAGGGTGGAATAGAGGCTGGCCCACCAGGGCTTCTCACCCTCGACAGGTGGCAGGAGGTCCTGCCACTTCGAGGCAGGACACGAGGGTGAGGAAGTGAAGAGTGTGGAGTACGAGCGTGTATAGATGTTTCCTTGGCGCGGTCAGGAAATGAACCGGTTGCAAGTCGTGCAGCCGGCTCACGGAGAAGGGGCGGGGGAGCCGGTTGGGTCCACGGGGCAGGGGCCAGATAAAAAGGTCCGGAGGACCAGGGGTGGAGGGTGGGCGGGGCATGCCCTCACGCAGGACCTGGTCGAGGTAGACCCGAGCAGCGGGTGGCAAAGCGGCCCTCACCTCCTGACGTACGCACCGGGGAGTACAAGGCCTGGAGATCCCCATGCGCCGGGCGAGTGTCAGGGGATCCAGTCAGTCTCCCCGGTCGTAGTCCAGGAGGTCTCCGACCCTAGTGACGTCTGCCAGGACCAACCTCTGGCGCACCGCGGGGGATTCCGCCACCTGCTCACGAAGCTGGGGGTTGTGTAGCAGGGGCTCCGCGAGGAGTTCTGCCCCCCGGTGAACACCCGCTCCAGCCCTGAAGGGGTTGGAAAAGCCCTGCAGAGGGCTGGGGCTGGGCAAGGAAGTAAAACCCCAGCTGATTGGGGGAAGTGGCTGCAGTTGGGGCCACGCCCCAAACTAAGCAACTGGGCCTTATAAGAAGGCCAGTGAAGCCAGAGGGAGCAGTCTCACTCTGACTTGAGAGGGAGACAGGCCTGGCTGCTGGGGAACTCACCCAGGGAACCTAGAGAGAGGCAGGGCTGGGGAAAGGCCTTAGGAGCTGGGACACCCTAGGCCAGCAACTCCCCAGGCTGCAGGGCCTAGTTCTAAGCCTCCTAGGTATTGGGCTTGCAGAAGGGCAGCCGGAGGGTGGGTAAAGGCAGCCAGTCCAAACCCCTTGTTGCCTGTGATGATCGGCTGATAGACTGCATTCCGCCCTAGGGCGCGGGGGCTAAACAGAGACTGGCAGTAGCCACGACTGAGGCACTGCAGGGGTGAGTCCTGCACTGCTACACTGACCAACAGGGAAGAATTGGTAGTGAATCAGAAGGCAATTTACATGGAAATGATCATGACATGATAGACTTCATGACTATAAGGAAAGGAAGAAGTAAGAACAGGAGAATAATGGCAATGGAGTTCAAAAAAGCAGATTAACAAACTCAGACTTCTGGTAGGTAAAGACTCATGGGAAGAAAATCTAAGGGGAAAAAGGAGTTCAAAGGAGATGGTAACTTCAAAGGAGACAATATTAAAGATGCAACTGCAAACTATCCTGAAAAGGAAAGATAGTAAGAGGCCAATAGGGCTCCATGAGGAGGTCTTTAAAGATCCGAAAGGGTCAAAAAGGGATCCTATAAAAATGGAAATATGGACAAATTGCTAAGGAGGTGCACAAAAGAATAACACAAGCATATAGGGACAGTCAGAAAGGTTAAGGCACAAAATGAGTTACACTTAGAAAGGGACATAAAAAGCAATAAGAAGTAGTTTTTTAAATAGCTTAGGAGCAAGAGGAAAGAAAGTGTAGGTCCTCTATTTAATGGGGAAAGAGAGCTGATAACTGATGACATCAAGAAGGCTGTGGTGTTTCATATATGTTTTGTTTCAATCTTCACTAAAAAAGATAATGGTGACCAGATACTCAGCACAATTAATATTAACAATAAGGGGGAAGGAACACAAGCAAAAATAGGGAAAGAACTGGTTAATTGTTTAGATATATTGGCAGGGCCTTATGAAATTCAAGCTAGGGTACTTAAGGAACTAGATGAAGCAATCTCAGAAGCATTAGTAATCTTCATGAATTCATGGATAGGTGAGGTTCCGGAAGAATAGAGAAGAGCAGTCATAGATCCTATCTTTAAAAAGGGGAACAAAGAGGACTTGGGGAATTATAGACCAGTCAGGCTTACTTTAATACATGGAAAAATACTGCAGGAAGTTATTAAACAACCAATTTGTAAACACTTAGAGGCAGGGCCAGCTCTAGCTTTTTTGCTGCCCCAAGCAGCAAAAAAAAGCGCCCCCCCCAGCCGAGCGCCGCGCCGCCCCCCCCCCAGCCGAGCGCCGCCGGAACCCCCCCAGAGCGCCTCCCCCCGCACCGCCCGAGCGCCGCGCGCCGGAGCCCA